CGGTGAGTCAGGCCAGAGGAAGCAGAGTCCTGGGTTGTCCTGGCTGGAGCCAGGCTGCCAGGGTTCAGTCTCCAGAGTTCAAATTGCTTCTTGTCTGTGAGACCCTGGTAAAAGAGCATATTCTGTGCGCCTCTATTGCTAACCAGTGTTACATGTAGAACAATAATTCCTGCCTAATTCATTACTATACAGGCTATTTAGAGAGGTCACTGATTTTTTTATAATTAATATTAATGTACTGTCTTAATAATGAGTAAGTTAGGCAATGGATGTAGTTGCATTAGTGAGCCCCTAATTTCCAAGATCACTAAAGTCACAATTGCAAAAAGAATTGGTAGAGTCTGTTTCAATAGGGAGGAACTATAGTTTAAAATTTTAGATTTAGACTATTTTCAAATTTTTTGAAAGGTAAAGGGGAAAGGGTAGAGGATGGGTAAAACAAACAGGGAAGAAAACACAAACTATGAGCACTTGATAGTGGTTGCAGCATGGTGGGAATAACATGGGGATCCCTAATATTACCAGAATTTAAAAATTAATTATAAAGAAGTTTTGGAATAATTGCATTTCCCATGGTTTTTTCCTAATGAAAGTATACTAATGACAAAGTTAAATTAAGTTAAATCAAGGTGGAGATGAGATCAATGGCATTTCCTGTGAGCTGGCTGCCACATTATCACCACAACACCCTAGCTATGTTTCCTGTGCAGTTTTTACAAAAGTTCTCCACCCAAGCATTTGCTAATCCAATCTTGCAACATGAGCATAAAGCAACAGCAAAGGAAATTCAAATGTAAAAGCTAGGTACCAGCTGCTACTTCTGCAGACCTAATTCTGCTCTTGTGAAGTGCCTAATTCTGCTCTTGTGAAGTGCTCTCCAAAACTTTGCTTTATTTTACCCTCTCCAGCTCTGGATTCTTCCACCACCTGCCTGGGCTAACCTAGACACCTGATACCACAGCATCTTAGACACCCAACCCAGAGCTGTAAACTCCAAACATACAGGCAGAATGAAACAGTTATATTCGATGGAGTACAGGTGGTAAGTTTCCAAAGTATTTGTTCATAAGAGGCATTGGAAGTGATAGTTAACAAGAAATACCCAAAGCTGTGTCTTCTCAGCAAGTATTCCATGATGAAACAGTTCTTGTGTGGACCATGCCTTATAAGCAGTGAATGATAGACAATCATGAGTTCTCCTCACAGTTATTTTTTAGGGCTGATTTATGAGTGTGAGGTTAAATTATTCCATGTATCAGTCTTGTAGGATCTCTGGATTAAGTGTTGCTAATACAAATATAATCTGGAGTCAGTCATTTAAGATTTGATTTATAAATGAAGAAGCATTTGTTTCTCTGTTTCTCTAATGCCTGATTGGGGTGGTGGC